ACCAAATTATCCTAACAGGAGTCACATATCTTTAAATAAACTATCTGATATCTCTTGAGAGCTTATATAAAGATCTCTGCTATTTTGAAAAACTAGTTTTACAGAAAACAACAATCAACAATTGCTGAAAAAAATGGGAGGTTCAGAAAATATGGAACAAACTATGGGAACCTTGTACCTGAACAATCAAGTTCAATAAATATAAAAACAAACATTATTAAATTACCATACAAATAAATGCATCTAGCAGTAAATTTCCATCTACATAAAATATGGGAAAAGGGCATGGGATGCTGGCTAGTTAACTGACTTTCTGGTTAGGCATCGCATTTACTTGCTAATATTAAAGCATTAAGACTTAAGTTGGATGTGTTAACTAAAGTTAATTTTCCTTTGATGAATCAGAATGCACATCAAGATCATGCAACGGTTCCACAGCACCACTATGCTCACAAATTATCACCCAGATCATCGTAGATCCTGGTTGCTCAGAAAGAAAGAGTGGATTTTCGGAACATCAGAACAAATATCTGACCTGATATTATGGGCGTAAGTCTTACTACAATAGCACTTGATATTGGATACTGCTTATCAAGGAACCAAAACACTATCATAAAACAATCCACAGTCTCATCAAGTATACTCAGGGGCCAGTGTTTGGCTACTGTAAGATGTCTGTAAAATGCCCACATCGCTCATCACAGCGCCTGAGGTCTGATTACTGGCTCCAGCTTTCCTGAGTATAGGCCATAGGAAGCAGCGGTGATGGCGCAAGTAGTTGGGTATCAGGTGTATACAGTACATAATCTGAAGGGTAAAACATAAACACAGTGCAAACTAGGTCATTTTCCCCTTCCTGTCTCAGCTATGCAATTACTCTCCCTCAAAATACATACGTAATTCTAAGACAAAAAAATATCATACTTCTCTGTTGTGGGGAGCAACTGGGAGCAACTCGGACTAGACTAAGTTACTGGAATTAAGACTTATTCTATGCATCTGCTCTCCCACAATATGGCGCTGGGAGAGGAGGAAACAGCTTCTACACAGCTGCCTCCAGTTCAACCAATAAACAGCAGGACCTGCTCCTGATTGGAGGAGAGCAGCGTACTCGGCGTGTGGGTAGCAGAGTTGGGATTGGTGGAAGAGGACTATAAAGGAGGAGAGAGACAACATGCACCAGGAACATCTAAGGGGAACAGCTAAGAGGAACACCTGTGCAGCCCCCGAGAGAGCCGGCCAGCAGTGTGCCGCTCCCCCGCGGAAGTGGGGAAAGTGGCAGGGGGAACCACCCTTCCACGGAGGTGGAAGGGACAGTAGCCAACCCGGGAAGAACCAGCAGCAAACCCGGGGAGGGCCCAGCAGACAAAAGAACAGCGCAGGGTCCTGTGTCGTTCCTCCGCGAAGACGGGGAGCGACATAATGGTGCCGTGACTCGGATATGAAGCCTAGGCAGGGTTTAGTGTCGTTCCTCCATGAAGAGGGGGAGCAACACTCTGTACCTTGCTTCTTTCTCCTGACCATATATGCCTTTGCCAAGTTAACTGTAACTGGGAAGTAAGATTCTTTTGAATAACTCATATCTAGCTGTTTAGCACTTTATTTGTTCTTCAGAAGTTTAGCCTAAGAGATATTTTCAAAATAGGATGCCTCACAGAAGAACTAATGAGCCCTAAGAGCTTGTTAAAGAGTTTTATATCTATCATGTTCAGCAGATTTGTAGTAAAATATTTTCTTTTTTAACTAGTTGGGGAAGAATGCTACTTCGAATTAGTGAAATCTTCATTTCAAAATATTTGTTTAAAAAAAGATGCTTTTTTCCCTCTCAAAGAAATAAACCCCAACATATATCTCACTTATTCTGACTCATGATTTTAAATTGTTGATTGTTAACTTATTTCTCTCTATATATATATTTTTTTTTTTGACAGGCAGAGTGGACAGTGAGAGAGAGAGAGACAGAGAGAAAGGTCTTCCTTTGCCGTTGGTTCACCCCCCAATGGCCGCCGCGGCCGGCGCACCGCGCTGATCCGATGGCAGGAGCCAGGTGCTTTTCCTGGTCTCCCATGGGGTGCAGGGTCCAAGCACCTGGGCCATCCTCCACTGCACTCCCGGGCCACAGCAGAGAGCTGGCCTGGAAGAGGGGCAACCGGGACAGAATCCGGCACCCCGACCGGGACTAGAACCCGGTGTGCCGGCACCGCTAGGCGGAGGATTAGCCTAGTGAGCCGCGGCGCCGGCCTATATTAATGGATTTTTTTAAGATTTATTATTTATTTGAAAGTCAGAGTTACATAGAGAGGAGGATAGGCACAGAGAGAGAGAGAGAGAGAGAGAGAGAGAGAGGTCTTCCATCCGCTGGTTCACTCCCCAATTGGCCGCAATGGCCGGAGCTGCACCGATCTGAAGCCAGGAGCCAGGAGCTTCTTTCAGGTCTCCCATAAGGGTGCAGGGGCCCAAGGACTCGGGCCATCCTCTGCTGCTTTCTCAGGCCATAGCAGAGAGCTGGATCAGAAGTGGAGCAGCTGGGACTCAAACCAGTGCCCATATGGGATGCCAGTACTGCAGGCGGCAGCTTTACCCGCTACACCACAGTGCTGGCCTCTATTAATGGATTTTTAAAGGCTTCAGATTACTTTAAAACAGGTATTTAAAAAAGGCTAAACAAATTCTCCTCAATCATGTTTGCAACAGAATTCTTTACCCAAAAAAAAAAAAATTTTGCTATTAAAAAAAAAAATGTCAGTCAAGCCTCTGCCCAAACTACTAGAAAGTGTGAATTGACAGAGACAAAATTAAGAGAGTCAATATCCTGGAGTGGATGTTTGTTTGTACAGTGGTGATGGTGCCACCAGGGACCTCGCTCCTATACTGGAGTGTCTGAGGTCTTAGTTCTACTCCTGATTCCAGCTTCCTGTTAACGTGCACCATGGGAGACAGCAAGTGATGGCTCAAGTACTCGGGTCCATGTCACCCACAAGGGAGACCTGGATTGAGTTCTCGGCTTCTGGGTTTGGTCTGGCCCAGACCTAGTCACTGTAGACATTTGGCAAATGGGAGAGCTCTCTTTCTCTCGGCCTTTTGAATAAAATATTTTAAAAGAGAGTCAATATTCAATATATCATGGTATACTGGCAAGGTAAGGAAACTTGGCAGAGGGATTTTCTCCCATTTGTAAAGCTAGCTAATGATGTACAGGTTCAATCTTTCACGTCCTTTCTATTTCCAAGACCTCTGACCTTCATATTTTCTTTGCTTCTTGCCCAAACTACTATAATAAATTCTTTACTGGTCTCCCTTTCTCTTCCAGTGGGGTTCCATAAATAAAAGGTCTGATGTTTAAAAAAATGTTTTTAGCCTGAGTAGTTTTCCCCGCCTCTAACAATCCATGTGCATTATTAAATTCCCAAGATACAACCCAGTATATACCCTTTCTTAATAACATGCTGGTATGCTACACAGTATGGGAAAGTTCACCTCTGCGGCCCGCATTCTGGCACAGCAGTTTAAGCCGCAGACGGCCGTGCTCACATCCCACAGGAGCACAAGTTTGAGTCTCAGATGTTCTATTTCCAATACAGCTCCCTGCTAATGCACCTGGGAAAGCAGTAGAAGATGGCCCAAGTGCATGGGCCCGTGCACCCATGTGGGAGACCTGAATGGAGTTCCTGGCTCCCAGCTCCAGCTTGGCCCAGCCCTGGCCATTGCGGCCATTTGGGGAGTGAATCAGCAGGCAGAAGATATCTTTCTCCTTCTCTCTCTCTCCCTCTCTGTAATTCTGCCTTTCAAATAATAAATAAATCTTTAAAAAAGAAAAGCAAACTGCTCATCTACCTGATAACTACTGTTCTCAGTCCAGATCCCGCCTTCCCTTCCCAGCTTTATCTCCTCTTGGGCTCTGGGACCCCCCGACATCTATTACTCTTTAGTATCTGTGACTCTGCCTTTGAAGCCTCTCCATCTGCAGTGTCTTTTCTCTCATCTCTACTTAGTGAAATCATTGCCCATTATGAAAGTCCTAGGTTCAAAAGACACCTCCTCCAGGAAGTCACTTCAAACTCATCCCTCTTTTTTTTTTTTTTTTTTTTTGACAGGCAGAGTGGACAGTGAGAGAGAGAGACAGAGAGAAAGGTCTTCCTTTGCCGTTGGTTCACCTTCCAACGGCCGCCACTGCCGGTGCGCTGCGGCCAGCGCACCACGCTGCCGATGGCAGGAGCCAGGTGCTTCTCCTGGTCTCCCATGGGGTACAGGGCCCAAGCACTTGCGCCATCCTCCACTGCGCTCCCGGGCCACAGCAGAGAGCTGGCCTGGAAGAGGGGCAACCGGGACAGAATCCGGCGCCCCGACCGGAACTAGAACCCGGTGTGCCAGCGCCGCAAGGCGGAGGATTAGTCTATTGAGCCACGGTGCCGGCTTCAAACTCATCCCTCTTAAGATTTATTCTCTACTCTCCCAAGGGTCTATAACTTTATTAAAGCACTCATCTATCTGCCTCATCTGATATCTGTAAATATATCTTTCTCCTTCATCAAATTATAAGACTTAGAAGGGGGCTGGCATTGTGGCATAGTGAGTTAAGCTGCCAGTATCCCATAAGGGCACCAGTTTGAATCTTGGCTACTCCACTTCTGATCCAGCTTCCTGCTAATGTACTTGGGAAAGCATCAGACGATGGCTCAAGTACTTGGACCCCTGCACCCACATGGGAGTACCAGAAGAAACTCCTGGCTTTGGACCAGCCCAGCTCTGGCCATTGCAGCCATTTGGGGAGTGAACCAGTGGATGGAAGATCTCTCTCTCTCTCTCTCTGTGTCTCTCGCTCTGTAATTCTGCCTTTCAAATAAATAAATAAATATTTTCACCAGGAATAAGCCACAATGCTAATGACAGTTCATTCAAATGTGACAACAAAAAGCTTTATTCAAAGATCTCATAATTCGAATAAAATCTGATGTGTATACTGCTGAACCAGAACCACAACGTGGAAATGAATTACTTACTTGCACAATTTGCCTCCTGCCAGGTGGTATTAAAAAACTCAGAGAGAATCAGAACCATTTGCATTCTATCTGCCATTAAGAGACTTCTGGCACAACTCTGACTCTCAGAAGTGTTCTGTAACAGAAAGGAGACAGAAAAACATAACCTTGAGTATTGTATTTTAGACTTTCCAAACAACTTGAGGCAAAAACATTATAAATATAAAAATATTTATCATAAATCTTTTAACATTTTCATACGATCAGATCACAATAGCACTAAATAATGGTAATAAAACAACAGCTAACATTTATTGCTACAAAGTTCACGTGCAAGAAAACCTTGGCTGCTTAAAGATATACTTGCTTCTACAGTACAATCTCTCTTTTTTTTTTTTTTTTTTTTGACAGGCAGAGTGGACAGTGAGAGAGAGAGAGAGAGAGAAAGGTCTTCCTTTACCGTTGTTTCACCCTCCAACGGCCGCCGTGGCTGGCGCATCGCATTGATCCAACGCCAGGAGCCAGGTGCTTCTCCTGGTCTCCCATGCGGGTGCAGGGCCCAAGCACTTGGGCCATCCTCCACTGCACTCCCGGGCCACAGCAGAGAGCTGGCCTGGAAGAGGGGCAACCAGGACAGAATCCGGCGCCCCGACAGGGACTAGAACCCGGTGTGCCGGCGCCACAGGCGGAGGATTAGACTATTGAGCCATGGTGCCGGCCTACAGTACAATCTCAACTACTTAGGTCCAAATTGCTTGTGTACCACATTCTTTATTTGCTATGCACAGGAAGAACTCTGGAAAGCTATTCACCAAAATGTAGCAGTGTGTATCTTTTTTTAAGAAAGATTTATTTATGTATTTATTTTTTGGAAGGCAGAGAGACAGAGACTGAGAATCTTCCATCTGCTGGTTCACTCCCCAAATGGCCACAGCCAGGAGCCAGGAACTCTATCCTGGTCTCCCACTTGGGTGGCAGGGGTTCCAGTACTTGGGCCTTTGTCTGCTGCCTTCCCAGGTGCATTAGCAGGGAACTGGAACAGAAGCATAACAGCTCGGATTCAAACAGGCACTCCAACACGTCAGTGCCACAAGCAGTAGCCTAACCTCCTGAGCCACAACACTAATAGGTATCTTTTGGTAATGAAAATGTTGTTGATTTTTATTTTCACTTTTGCTCTCTTGTGCTGTCAAAAATTTTCTACAGGGGCCGGCACTGTTGCATAACCACCAGCTACAGTGCTGGCAGCCCACATGGGCACCAGTTTGAGTCCTGGCTGCTCCACTTCTGATCCAGCTCTCTGCTATGGCCTGAGAAAGCAGAAGTCCTTGGGGCCCTACACTCATGTGGGAGACCCCCGGAAGAAGCTCCTGGCTCCTGGCTTCAGATTGGCACAGCTCCAGCCACTGTGGCCATCTCAGGGAGTGAACCAGAGGATAGAAGACCTCTCTCTCTCCCTCTGCCTCTCTGTAACTCTGCCTTTCAAATAAATAAACAAATATTTAAAAAAAAAATTCTACAGTGAGCATATATTATTTATATAATGTTTTAAATCTAGTGGGTAAATGATCATACACCATTTGGCTCACCTATTGGACAATTTTTGGTTCAAAGTCTTATAATCCACATGTATATCCAACACCACATTCAGTTTACACCCAGTTTGTACTCGGAAAAATATGCTATCCACAGATAATTTTAATAATAAAGAAAATCAAGCTATACAAATAATAAATCCAAGCTCCTAATTATTTAATCCTTATCTATTTCCTTTTGTTTGTGTCCAAGCAAGGAACAGTCCTGCTGATGCTTCATTCTTCAAAATTAACTGCTACTATTTGCTGGCCACTACAAGAATCTTTGAGTTTCAAAGATAGAAACTTTAAAAGAGAACGCCATCCATGCTGGAGCCTTGAGAACCTCCCTGCAAACACACAGATAAGGACTTACATAATATGATGAGTAAGAAGAAAGAGGCAACTCTAGGAAAGAACTGATCAGCCAGGTTGGATAAGGAAAGGAAGGTAGGCTTGCAGCATTCTTGCTTCAAAATATCAGACATTAGCTTTGGGAATGCTACTCTTTTTGAGGTTTAGTTTTGTCACTTTATCACTAAAAGCTGCATCAAGGGGCAGGTGTTTGACCTACAATTAAGATGCTGGTGTGGATGCCGGCATTCCTCATGGGAGTGCCTGCATACCAGTACTGGCTCCACTCCCACTTCCAGTGGACTGCTGATGCACACTGTGGGAGGCAGCAGGTGGCAGCACAAGTAGTAGGGTCCCTGACACTCACATGGGAGGCCTGAACAGTGACCCTGGCTCCCAGCTTTGGCCTCAGCCTAGTTCTGATTTTACAACCACTTGAGGAGTGAAACAGTGGATGGCAGTGTTCTCTCTGCATCTTTCTGCTTCTAAAATAATTTGTAAAAAATTTTTTTTAAAAAAGATCCATCCAAATGAGTGACTGCTTTTAAAATAGTAAACTGAATAAAACACTTTTAAATAAAGTCCCTTTCTTAGGGAGTAATACAAGCTATAGAAGAAAATTTCTATTAATATTTTTTATTAGACAGGTAGAGTTATAGACAGTGAGAGAGACAGACATAGAGAAAGGTCTTCCTTCCATTGGTTCACTCCCCTAATGGCCGCTACAGCCGGCACTGTGCCAATCCGAATCCAGGAGCCAGGTGCTTCCTCTTGGTCTCCCATGTGGGCGCAGGGACCCAAGCACTTGGGCTATCCTCCACTGCCCTTCTGGACCACAGCAGAGAGCTGGACTGGAAGAGGAGCAACCAGGACTAGTACCCAGCGCCCCAACCAGGACTAGAACCCAGGGTGCCGGCACCGTAGGTGGAGGATTAGCCAAGTGAGCCATGGTGCCGGCCTCTATTAATATTTCTTAAAGAGAGTTTGCTGGGGCCAGCGCTGTGGCACAGCGAGTTAACGCCCTGGTCCGAAGCGCCGGCATCCCATATGGGTGCTGGTTTGAGACCCAGCTGCTCCACTTTCGATCCAGCTCTCTGTGTAACTCTGATTTTCAAATAAATAAATAAATCTTTAAAAGAGAGAGAGAGAGAGAGAGTTTGGCTAAGGAATGAGATAAAAACCTCTTTGAGGTTTGGTTTCATATTCCTGTGTCCTGGAGTTACTGTTCTAAATGAAACAATGTTAAACTTAGCACAATGTCTGGCACCTAGTAACTTCATGTATGCTATTTCACCTGGCTACCTTGCCACTAATCTGCTGAGTGGGAGCAGTTTGCCAAGCATAATCACATTACCCAAGTTGATTCTTCGTAAGTAGTTGGCTATTTAAAAACACAATACAGCATAGCCTGTACACATGCTTCCATGTATAGAACAGTTCTATTGAGGAAGAAAATAGTGTGGTTAGGAAAGAGCTCACAGAGTGTTGCAGTTGATTTCTCAACAATGTTGCAGTGGATTCTTTCTGAGAAGAGGAGCGTGGTGGGGGCAAGAGGTGCGGAGTCACCACACAGACACCTGGAGTCAGGTGAAAGCAGGCTTGAGGCAAGCAGCCCGCAGACTCATTTATTTCAGTTAGTACAACAGCTTATATAGCCAAGACCAGCCAATCAGGTCAAGGGGCGGTCTACGCCCCAACCAATCACAGCCTGTTGCCAGGCAGTTTCCAAAGCCATCCAATCACAGCCTGCTGCCAGGCAGGCTCCACTGCCAGGTGGGATTCAAAGCCATTCCTGAGTAACTGACACTCGCTTGCCAGTGGCCACCTTGGCATGGCCTTCTCATTCCACAACAGAGGAAGTAGGATTTGAACTAAGTCCTGTATTGAGAAAGGGAAGAGGATTCTAACATGAGGGAACCAAAAAGTCATATGGTGAGGGTGGGAACAACCACGTGGTCTGCAGGGAGAACAGGGCTGGTCTGCACGGCGAGGGTGGAAAGTACCTCTCTGACAGTAGGGGCATTGCAGGGGAAGTTAGGACAAGGCTGTACAGGGCTTTGAGAGTCAGTGAGAAACACTTGGAGACTTTTGAGGAGGGTGATGTGAAAAGCAGGGTTTGGGGAACGTGTGTCGTGATATATAGGGTGAGAAGGCAGAGAAGTTAATGAGACTTTACATAGTTCAACCATGATGAAAAGATGGTGGCAACAGTGGGGAAGGAAAGTACATCATTCCAATGATGACGATGTACTTACCTAGAACACATCAGTTCTCAATGCTCCAGGTACATTAATTCATTTATTCCTCCTAACAACTGTATGAACCAAGTAGTTTGAAATGCAACCTCTGCCACGACACAGCCTTGGATAAATTACTTAACCACTTTGAGCCTCAGTTTCTTGAAGCATGATATTCATCGATATTTGTTTAGCTTCCTCATCTAAACAGAAGTTCCTTTAGGATGGAAACTCCATCATCTTTGTATTCCTAATACCTAGCACAGTGGCCAAAAAAAATTGGTTCCTGATTATACTTAGAAATGTTATGTATGGGGCCAGCGCTGTGGCATAATGTGTAAAGCCGTCACCTGCAGTGCCGGCACCCCATATGGGTGCCGGTTCGAGTCCTAGCTGCTCCACTTCCATCCAGCTCTCTGCTATGGCCTAGGAAAGCAGTACAAGATAGCCCAAGTCCTTGGGCCCCTGCACCCTTATGGGAGACCCAGAAGATACTCCTGGCTCCTGGCTTCGGATCGGTGGAGCTCCAGCCTTTGCAGCCAATTGGGGAGTGAACCAGCAGATGGAAGACCTCTTTCTCTCTCTCTGCCTCTCCTTTTCTCTCTGTGTAACTCTGACTTTCAAATAAATAAATAAATCTTAAAAAAAAAAAAGGAAAGAAATGTTACATAGACAAATCTGTCATAATCACTTAGCAGAACCCATTTTCTATTATACCTTGAATGGCCTTTTAAAGCACAGAACTGGGCATTCCACAGAACTAAACTTTTAATAACAGTACACTGCTTTAAAATCAAACTCTGAAATCTTCAGCATGCCCTGTGGGTCCACATGGCCTGGCACCTGCTCAGTTCTTCAGGCTCAGATCATTATTAGTCTCATCCGTGCTCATTGTGCTGAGTTCTTTGTAGTACTCCAACACACCAGACCCCACCACATCTCAGTCTTCACATCTGCTATTTCTTTACATGTGTAATAGTACCTTCTCTCCTCTTGCCCCCCACCTTGTCAAATTTGAGGTGTCAGCTTTAATCACTGACCAACTCTGCCTGACCACAGCAGCACTGAAGATCAGCTCCCTTCCTGTAGGTTTTGGTAGATTCTGAGATTTTCTTTGTAACAATTATCATACCTGAATTAAATAGGTACTTGTTTAATAATCTGTTTAATATCTGTATTCAGACCGCAAGCCTTGCTCATTCACAGCTGCGTCCCAAGTAACTACAAGAACTTGCACATAATAGGCACTCTAAACTTTTTTAATGTATGCATAAGCATTACATTTTCTGATCTTTAATGAAAGACATAGATTATGTTATATCCCAATTTTCTCTCTATATTCCTAAGAATTTGTTATTTATTAACCTATAAGTATGTTACTCACAGATACATAATTCAAATGATTAACACCTTCACAAATATTATAGATGTGTGTATGTATCTGTACTTACATAGATACATCTATCTAGGTACCTGAACTTTAAACAAGTAGGATAGGAAAGAGTTTACCAGATTAGAATTCAAGGAGGCTAAGGCATCCTCAAAACCAATCTGAAGATGCTGAACAACTCAAGGAAACCATGTCCCAATCTAAGCTTAAACTAAAAGAAAGTACAACTCTAAGGAAGACAGAATTTATCAGTTCTATCACTCAGGTTTCAACAAATCACAGTATTCTTTACCTTGAGATAATCAAACTATATTTGGGTGGCATAGCGGGTAAAGCCACTATCTGCAGTGCTGGCATCCCATATGAGCACTGGTTCATATCCCAGCTGTTCCACTTCCAATCTGGCTCTCTGCTATTGCCTGGGAAAGCAGTAGAAGATGGGCCAAGTCCTTGGGCCCCTGAACCCACGTGTGAGAACGGGAAGAAGCTCCTGATCAGCACAGCTCCAGCCATTGTGGCCATCTGGGGAGTGAACCAGGGAATGGAAGACCTCTCTCGACCTCTCTCACTCTCTCTGCCTCTGTCTTTCAAATAAATATATCTTAAAACAAAACAAACAAACTAACTATATTTGGGGCTTGAGCTTTGGTGTAGAAGATTAAGCCTCTGCTTGCAGTGTTGGCATCCCATATGAGTGACAGTTCAAATCCTGGCTGCTCAACTTCCAACCCAGCTTCCTACTATTGTGCCTGGGAAAGCAGCAGAGGATGGCTCAAGGACTTGGGCCCCTGCAACCATGTGGGAGACCCATATGAAGCTCCTGGCTCCTGGCTTCAGCCTGGCCCAACCCCAGCTGTTGCTTCCACTGGGGTGTAATCTAGCAAATGGAAGGTCTCTTTCTCCTCCTCCTCTTTGCATCTCTGCCTTTCAAATAAATAAATGAATCTTAAAAATAAAATAAAACTATATTTTGTCCTCTCCTATAATTCCAAGAGGAATAACAAGAACACAAAATTCTCATCAGATCATTCTATTAATTAGCTTGCTGTACCACATAAATAGCTTACTTGTTTCTACCATTAATTCTTTTTTCTCTTTATTAGTCTACTCTTCTCAATCAGTCATGTCCATTCACCCTAAAGAAGGCAGGAAAGGATGCCTTGAAGAAAATTTAGCTTGTCAGCTGTCTATCTTGCTCTGTTCCCATTTCATTCAGCAGCTCCTCCAACCTTTTGTGCTAAACTCCTCTTGTGTAATTCATAATACACTCATAATATTTATCTTTTTCTGTATATAGGTTTAGTTCCCCAGTTGCATCAATAGTTTGAGGCCTGGGTGTATCCTCCTTTTCTTTCTATACTCCATCACCAGCCCAATATTTAAGAGTAGTGGGTGTTAATTAAACTGATTTAAATGAAATTCTAATTGAGCCAAAGAAAATACATTACTCTAGAGAAATAAACCTCAGCAAAGACAACTAATTTCTTCAAGTCACTCATCATCATCATAATGCACCAACACATTCTTCCATAGGTTCATTATTACACATGATGGTCTATTAAATCCACAAAGTTCCTCAAAACATTGGAAATCATGTTTCTGAGCTAATGAACCATATCCAGTTCTGAGAAAAGAAGGGGCCCAGAGATCAAGGTCCAGGATGAGTTGGAGAGGATATCAGGAGTGGATAAGGCATTGTCCTGACTCTCCTCACCTCTTCATTTCTTTTCCTCCCACATTAGCAGTAGGTAAGCAGGGTGCCCAGGTCACCAGCAGAATCTAGGGGGCATAGAGACAGGAAGACATCATCTGTAACCCCCACATTGGGAAGCTTCCCTGCACAGTGAGAATTTAAGAGGAAATTCAGATTGGGTGATCCCCATAACATTGTAGCACTATTTGGGAGTAATTTGCCTAACCTCCCCTTAATCCCATCAAACCTACACAAATGCCTCAGAAGATCCAAGCTTTGCATCCTGAGCCACAGCCATTCTGCCCACAAAAGCACTTGCTCTGCAGAGTACCAGCTCACCCACATGCTCAAGGCTGAGGGTGACACGCCAGATCATTCCCTGCCGCAGCTGACAGGAACAAGTCTCAGGTGCTTGATTTGAAATCGTACCTATATATCCCTTGCTAAACCCAACAGAAGTATGGCTGGAAAACATTCCATGTAAGCCTAAATTTATTTAAGCTACCTGGAAAACTAGCTCTTCATAGAAAGATGGATCGTGGGATTTACTGAGTACGAGTAAATGCCCCATGCACGTAAAACAGAGATTTAGACAGGGTCTTAAAGTAGGATGCAACCATACACGAGTTTCTCTGCAGTCAAATCAACTGCGATTTATGAAGTCATTCCAACCACCCTGTCATGAGACCAGCAGTCTTCCTCATGGTTTCCCTTCACCAGGCGTCTCCGGACAAACCTCATGACTCTCACCAGCTCTGTCACCTGAATCCTTTCCTAGTCTAGACCGACAAAGGCAGATATACCATTTCCTCAAGTGAGATCTCCCATTTACTGAGCACTGTGTCTACATTCCAGCTGTCCAAGGCCTCCTGCTGTCCCCATTCGACAGAGGAGCGAACAGCACAGAGCACCTAAGTTACTCGCCCAGAATGTGCGGCGAATAAGCAAAACGGAACGGTACTCCTGGCAGTCTGTCTCTGGACCATCCTCGCCATAAGGACGAACCCCACACAGTGTCTATCTTAATCCTACACAGCCACATCAGGCTGCTGCTCCCATTTTCCTGGGGAGAAAACTAGAGCTCTGAAACGACAATCACCACGTAAAGTCACAGTGCTAGAACCTGGTGGTCCCGATCTGAACAGCTTGGGCTGCAAACCGCAAGCTTCTAACCACTGCCGGGTCCTCCACCTGGGGTTTCCAGAAAGGACCCTTCCTGCAATTTCCTGTGCATTACGGCACAGTCAGGGGTTAGGAGTGGGTTGAAGAAAACAGGATGGCCAACAGCACGCGTGGAGGTAAAGGTCCCAAGAACCCTAACGCCAGCCCCTTTTTCTGATACCCCAAACTCCACAGACCCAGTCCAACCCGTTTCTTTACTGTTAGCGAACATGAGGCCCCAGGGTTGACCGTCCACATATCCTCCAGCTAGCCCAACCCTCCACGCCACAGTCCATAGGGTGCTCCTCTACCCACCCCCACGGCTCGGCTGATGTTGTCCATCTTGCTGACGACCTGCTGGAAGAGCGGGTAGCAGGTCTGACAGAGGCGCACGGGCCGGGCGCTGCGCACCAGACACCCGGTCAGCTCCGCGCTGCTGTTAGCGAAGTCCAGCAGCAGCTCCCGGCACTCCGGATCCAGCTCGGGCAGGTCCGAGGGTAGCCACAGTGGCCCCAGACCGCCGCCCCGCAACAAGGACAGGCTCAAGTCCTCCGCCTCCAGCAACTGCTGCTCTGAAAGGAGGTCAGGGAAGACCCGGTGCGGACCGCTGCCGAAAGGGAGCGCGCCCAGAGCCAGCCGCGGCCACACCAGCAACACCAGCAGCAGCCACGGCAGCGCCGACCGTCCCAGCCGCGCGACTGTCGGCTTCCGATCCATCCCCCGGCTCACAGATCCCAGGTCGCTCACCACCGCTCCTCCGCCCCCAGCGGGAGCGCAGACAGCCGCCGCTTCCGGCTTCCGCGAGCGCAGGCCTGGAGGCGGGTCACGAGGCGCGGACGTCACGGCCCCGCCCCCCGGCGGCGGCGCCGCGCCCCATTGGCTGCCGACAGCTGGGCGTGCGGAAGCGCGCGAGTCGTCGGCGGCCTCGTGCCGGAGCCGGCGTGCGACCCCGGGGCTGAGGGATCAAAGGACTGGGCCTTCCTCGCGGCTCCGACCTCCGCGGCCCAGGCTCTCCAGCCCTGTCGACCGCGGCGTGTGCCTCTGTGGACAGTTACTTCTCGGGAGCCTTGGCTCTGGAACGCCCAGCGCAGTGGGAGTCCCCTTCGTCTTGACGTCTGTGGTGGTACCTCGCAGCGTGGAAGTTATTGCCTAGCGCCTTCCTGGGGAAAGCCCGCTGCTGGTGCCTTGGCAGGCTTTGTGTTCGCGCCCTTGGAAAGAGTAACAACGTCTGTTTATTATTAATAGTGGGGGCCTAGTGACTCCCAAGCTTTATTTAAAAAAATAAAAATCTCAATTGTCTACTCAGCAAGGTCCCGACGGAACCTTCCGCGGTGGGGGAAATAGTCTGTATCTACCTTAACGGGGTAGTCACTGGCCACGTGTGCACATGTGGCCGCTGAGCCCTTACAATGTGACTGAGGAACAGCAGGTATTTTTGTTTTTTTGTTTTTGTTTTTGTTTTTGCTTGACAGAGTGGACAGTGAGAGAGAGAGAGAGACAGAGAGAAAGGTCTTCCTTTTGCCGTTGGTTCACCCTCCAATGGCCGCCACGGCTGGCGCGCTGCAGCCTGCGCACCGCGCTGATCCGATGGCAGGAGCCAGGTGCTTCTCCTGGTCTCCCATGGGGTGCAGGGCCCAAGCACCTGGGCCATCCTCCACTGCACTCCCTGGCCACAGCAGAGAGCTGGCCTGGAAGAGGGGCAACCGGGACAGAATCCGGCACCCCGACCGGGACTAGAACCTGGTGTGCCGGCGCCACAAGGCGGAGGATTAGCCTAGTGAGCCTTGCGCTGGCTCGGAACAGCAGTTTTAATTTAACTGAAATGCAAATAGCCACATCTGCATTGGTGGCCTCTTGGACGCAGCTCTGGTCCTGGCGTGGCCACCGTGCAGGTTTGCTTGGAACTGATGGGGTTTCCAGGATGTGCACCATGGCCGCTGCTGGAACCCCGGAAGTCCTGGCAAACCGCTCAACTTGAAACCCCAAACGGTTTCTGACATCCCCAGAGCGGTCGTGAGGGACACCCCCCCCCCAGCCCCCGCAACAAGCGTCTTCATATCGCTGCTGGGCTACAAAATGAATTTAACCTCAAGACCTAAAAAACAAATTTCTGACAATATATGTGACTCACAAGTGTTAGGTTTAAATAACTTGGGGTTCTGGCCTTTCGTAGTCCCCAGAAGAGATGGAGACCGACTTCAGCGGAGACAAGCTGATATACTGAAGCCAAGAGGTGGCGTGGCGACAGTCCCCGAAGAGAGTGCAGAGCGTGAGTGGGGCAGGGCTTTTATCTGGTCTGATTGTCAAGGGAACTTGGCACCAGGAGCTGTCTATAAGCGTTGGGAGCCTTTGCTTATCTAGTTTTTCGAGCCATTTTGCAGGTGGCTAGAGAGACAGACTAAGAGTATATCTGGGGTGTGTGTGTGTGACATTCTTGTGAGCGGCATTGTCATTTAACAAGTTTGATGGAAAAATTACTTGCAGTTGCAGGCTGTTTTGTGTCATCCTGTTTTCGAGTGTTGTGCCCTGTAAATCGCAGAGTAACTGTACTAGTCTTTAGCTTAGGGTCCTAATTTATGTTTCTGAGGGTTCCTATAGTTTTGCTGCATCTATCTGGTAATTGTTTTGTGTTCCTAAATTTCATTCTGATAACTAAATTTTGTTTCACTTTTGTTACCAAGAAACCACAAAGTAGGAAGTTGGATTTGTATAACAATAAATGCATTTCCAAACAAGAAAACTGGTTGTCTTAATTTTTTTAAGTGTCATCATGTAAATTTTTAGTCTATTATTAGAGTTGCCTTTTTTTTAAAGATTTATTTATTTATTTGAAAGTCAGAGTTACAGAAAGGGAGGGAGAGACACAGATCTTCCGTCTGCTGGTTCACTCCCCAGAGGGCCACAATGGCCAGAAGCAAGGAGCTTCCCGTGTTCCACTAAGTGTCAGGGGCCCAAGCACTTGGGCCGCCTTCTGCTCTTTTCCCAGGCCGTTAGTGGGGAGCTGGATCAGAAATGGAGCAGCTGGGACATGAACCGGCATCCATATGGGATGCTAGCATTGCAGGCAGCGGCGTTACCTGCGACACTGCATCGTTGGCCCCTTAGAGTTACCATTCTTATAAGTTCTCTCATGTACCATTTTGTGTTGCTGGGTGAGTGTAAATTGTTAAACTTCATGGACAGCAGTATAGCAGAGCCAGTATTACAAATGTACCTACTCTGAGACACGTTCACTTGTAGGAATTTATCTTAAACATACACTAACGTTGTTGTAGACATGATTATTCATTGCAGTATGCTTTATAATATAGTAAAAGAATGGATTAAGAAGGGATGTTTTAAAAATTAAGTACACTTTTCCTCTTTCCCTTCCAGGGACAATTCAGTCCTCAAGGCCAAGTAGAGCAAAGTGGGAGTCTATGCTTAGTGGGGTTGGGGCATCAGAGGCCCAAAGAGATGTCAGAGTTCAGAGAAGAGGAAGACATTTACATGAGGGAGGGAGGCTGCACCACCGGATGCAGGGTATTGGACCCTGAGTGGGGTGACAAGGCTTCCTATACAGATGCGGCGTGGCACAGGGGTTAGGTGGTATCACTTATCAGAGCACTGGTTGGAGTCCCAGCTGCTTTGCTTCCAATCTACCTCCCTGCTAAAGCACCTGAGAAAGCCACAGAAGATGGCCCAAGTACTTGGAACACTGCCACCACATGGGAGACCCTGATGGGAGTTCCAGACTCCTAGCTTCCGGCCTTTGTGAACATTTGGGGAGTGAACCAGTGGATGGAAGATTTCTCTCTCTCTCTCTCTCTCTCTCTCTCTCTCTCTCTCTCTCTCATTCTACCTTTCAAATAAATAAATCGTTAATAAATTTAAAAAGGTATGGGACCTGCATGGCACAGTGGATTAAGCTGCCACTTACTATGTCAGCACTGCAAATCAGAGTGCTGATTTGAGTCCCAGCAGCTCCACTTTTGCTCGTGTGCCTGGGAAGGCAGCGGAAGATGGCCCATGTGCTTGGGTCCCTGCACACATAGGAGACCCTGATGAGGTTTCAAGCTCCTAGTTCAGCCTGACCCAGCCCTGGCTGTTGCAGCCATTTGGGGAGTGAACCAGCTGATGATCTCTCTCTGTGTCTCTGTCTCTCTCTCTCTTCCTCTGTCACTCTACCTTTCAAATAAATAAATTTTTAAAGGGTTTTTATGCAGTGAAGAAAGCAGTAGTGATTGGGAGGTTGTTTACATTTAGAGAAATTGGTCAAATAAGTAAATATATTAAGGATAATGGGAATCTGATTTCTCACTGTCACGGAAGGGAGTTACAAATATAAAAATATTCACACTATTTGTTGAACTCTTAGTGTAGTGTTAACTTTACAATCATTAAGTAAACTGAAAGTAGATCTTTGTAAAAATTAAAGAGTGGGAGTGGGAGAGGGAGGAGGAAGAAGGGTTGCAGCATGGGAGGGAACGGAGGGTAGGGTGGGAAGTATCACTATGTTCCTAAATGTTAAATATGAAATACATGAAACATATAACTTAAATAAAATTAAAGAAAAATTTTAAAAAGAAGTGAATTCTGTATTGTTGAATTAATTAGAAATAGCAGAAGTTGTGGCTTGAACTACATAGAGATATAGAAATAAATTCAGAAGTAAGTCTGTGTATGTGTTTATAAATGTAACTTTCCCCTGGCTGTGTCCACTGAGAATACCTAGAGGCAAAGGCGCCCCTATAATGATAAGCACATATAGGAGCCATTGCGGTAGCGTAGCAGGTAAAGCCGCCACTTGCAGTGCTGGCATCCCATGTGGGCACCAATTCGAGACCTGGGTGTTCCATTTCCAGTCCAGCTCTCTGCTTTGGCCTGGGAAAACAATAAAAAGATGACCCAAGTGCTTGGGACCCTGCACCTGCATGAGAGACCCAGAAGAAGCTCCTGGCTCCTGGCTGCTGGCACTACAGACCGGAACTTTAACCTGCTGCGCCACATTGCTGGCCTCCTAAATAAATAAATCTTTAAAAAATAAATAAAAGACCTAAAAGAAGCTGACGTAGGTAGGATAAGGGAGATGAGAGGTTTGAGTAGAGATTTATGACACAGAAGGAACAAGGATTGATAGTTATGTAGATCTGGAGTGTGAGGCAAGGAAGGCTCTAAGGTTGCAAATTTAGATAACTGGGTTAATGATGGTGCCATGGACAGGAAGAGGAAAGTCTTTGGAGAGGGATGGAAAACAGTGAATTCAACTGGAATCATCAGTTCATGTTTCTGGTAGAGACACCATGGAGAATTTTAAATTACAGATTTAGGTGTATGGTAGCATGAACTGAGCTAGAGGTATAAAGTAGAGAATCATTGAGGTTTATGTGCTAATTGAGTCTTTTAAGGTAAATAAGCCCCCCAAAGACTGACACACTAAGATTAATTCATGATTATTAGAGGAGATTATATTCATGATGATATACACAGTAGCCCTGAATATAAGAATAAGTTCAAGGCAAGGTCTTATCTTGATTATAAACCACTAACAAAAAAGTAATACCATTGCCTAAATTCGAGTCCTTTGCATCTCTTGCCAAGGTTACTGTAATACCAAAGGATAAAGATCAAAGGGAAAGGCAGGAAACCTAGAGAAGAGGAAGAGAAATTGACCTGCAGCACCACCCACACTCACAGGGTGGGGAACATCTGGCCCACAGGCCCTGTAAGGCCTGTGA